AAGCCGCAGCGGCTGCATTGGAAATACGTGAGCGACGACGAGCGGCGGCTGAAGCGGCGAACAAGAATAGACGACCACGTCGACGTAAACGAACAGATCTGGAAAGCATACCTGTGCGTGGAAGACCGACTTATAGGCGAAAATCATTTTCAGCCTCTTCAGAAGCATCTGGCAGTTCTAGCTCTTCTAATTCTTCCAGATCACCATCTAGTGGCCGTTCTCGTTCTGACTCAGGTAGACCTGCTGCAGTTCGACATAATCCTGCAGGTCGTCAAGCACCACTCATTAAACATGACCAAGAGGCTGTCCGCTCAAGTGGTCGTAAACGTGTTCGTCAAGATACGCAACGTACAAGCCTAAAAGAAATTGATGAGAATACAACACGTCGACATGTAGGACGTAGCATGCTACTAAACAGTATTGATCCTCGTGAACCATTAGAATACGTTCGATATACTAAGCAATCAGATTTTAATGAACGTTCTACGCATAGAACACGTGGGACAGATCAATTTATTCAGAAACCCATACAACCTATGAAACGATCCTATCCCTCTGGTTAGTTTATTTTACTGATATTCTATAAACAATTAATTGGTATGTGTTGATAAGAATGAGTTCATTAAGTTCAAAATAGTATGCAGTAATTTGTAGTAAAAAAACTAACTAGCTTCACCTTGTGTATGGTTTTTTTTAATAAGACTGAGAACTGATAAATTTAGCTATCATATATGAGCTTTCTCAACCAACAACGCTGTTCTATTTGTTTTGATGCCAGGATTGCATGAGAGATTACAAGAGGAATAGCATATTTGATTCAGTTTGTTTTATAATGTGTTTAATGTCATCCAGTTTCCTAGAGCAATAACATCGTAGGAATTAGCAGCAATGTCCATTGCACTCCGATTTGTATCAAAACCAACCAGTTTATTCAATAATTCACCATTATTGTCTTATTAATCTTCCCTTTTTAACTACGAAGTTTGCACTGTCATGCATACACCTCAAGGCCAACATTCAATAGCTCGATTGACTTATTCAACAGTGTAATATGTTCGTGTACCACTTCTCACCGACGCACTCTTGTTGCTGGTTCAGCATAGCCCGTCGCGTTGGGGTGGTGTGGCATGACATACGTAACGTATATATCGACCACCTCAGTAATATAAGGCCTCGTCAATCAACTTGCCCTTACTGCTACATATTCAACTTCACCATTGCCCAGTTGATTAGTTCTGTCGTATATGAGTAGTGATGGTTCGAATATACATATGATCAAGTACATGCAATCCACTCAAGTCTTCCACTTTCAATGGTCTTGTTTCACAGCTGTAAACCAATACAGATTGAACTATTACGTAGTTTACTGGTTTTTTTATTGATAAACAATCTAGCTTGTGGTACAACGGGGATGTTTGAAAAGAGATTGGGCGAGCTGATTTTATCTGTTTCGAAATTTTGTAAGTCATGGGCCTACCGAAGGTGGATGAAAGTAATAAGATAAACGACAGAAATTAATATGACTTCTGAGCGGTGCATATCTATAGGGTAATAAAGCAAGTTTCGTTTTTTTAACCCTTATTCTATCTAAATCATGAATACTAGCATCCCGAAGCCTAACGATTCACCATTTCACTTTCTTTTCACTCTTTTCTATCTGATCTCCCTGTTGTCTAGCTTTTCTTTTTTGTGATATTCAGGACTTTAATTCTGTCAAATCCAGCTTTTCGTCTCAGTGTCAGGTATTTAGACGATATTATCCATGTCAACTATCCAGCCAGTCTTAATTATCATAATCATTCATCACCTGCTTTCCATAAAATAATCCTATAATCTGATATCACTTTTCAGGCCTCGAGGAAATGCCAGTACGGCAACGTCCGGAACGAGACTCACGTCTGCCTGGTGCTCACTATCCAAATCAGTCTGTCGATGAACCGCACAGAGTTGTCAATCCTGAGAGTAGGCGTACTGCTGTCAGTCAATTCAATATGTCAACTAAGGAGAGGATAATTAGACCGAGAACACCTCATGGTTTAGAAATGATTGATTTCAGGAGCCGATCACCTCATGGAGATGTTGACATATTGCCTAAAATTATTCGCCTTGATCGCGAGCAATATCGCAGAGTTAATTACGACGTACCAGATGTCAGTGTTTGTGAAAAGTCGTCAGCTGATCTAACAATGGTTGACTCTACAGATAGTTTTGGTGCTAAACGTGCTCGTAGTCGTCATCGTAGCAGAGGACCTGGTGTAACTATTGATCGGTCTGAACCATTTGAGTCAGATACAGGAAGTTTTGCTGCAGAACAACGTCTTAGAAAACTTCGCGAGCGTTTGAACTTAGTTGATGATGCAATCGCAGAAATTAAAGCCGGTACTGGGGCACAATCCAATTTTAATTTTGGCGATATTCGAAGATGATAAAGACTACCGTAGTTATTAATCGAATCATCAACATGTACATTGTTGTCTCCATTTCACTTCTTTCTGCACAAAAGACAACTCACTATATTTATTTCCTTCCCCCATATTGTCGAAGTCAACTGTTTGTATCGTGTTTTTCTTATCAATTATAGTCAGTTTTATCTGAAATACCATTCTCTAACTACCATCTTTAATGGCATAAATGTAAGAGCCGTTGCACTGGATGAAGCAGTCTTCGTGGTACCTGTCGTTGGCTTGTGCAATATTCATTCTTATCAACGCATACGGTGATGTCTAATGATGTAAGTGTAACCAATAGCTACGCTGAATGTCAAGTCTTAATTTTCAATGCAACTCACTAAACACAGCTCGAGTTTGTATGTGAGGACTTGTTACCAATGTGTGTCCTAAGCCAACGTACATTTAAGGTAAATCAAGTGATCATAACCTACCATTTAGGATCGGAGTTTTAAAGATTATCTCCGTACTTCACGTAGCTAAAATAACGATAACATTTCGAATTAAGATATACTCCGATTCTATGACTCGACAGCTAAGAAGCACTACAGAATTAGCTTATTAAAATGGTTAAACGAATGAAAAGTAAAAGGCACAGAGTAGTAGGATAGTACAGGTTGATGGCGTGTGTGTATTTAAGTAGAGTGTACTGAGGATCATAGTTACGGAAGCATGGGAGAGCAGCAGGCCCTGACAGGTTTACCCCTGAGATTTTTAAGGATGGAGGTCCATTATTAGCAGCGAGACTGACTGAGGTCTAAGGTAGAATCTGGGAACTGGACGTAATCCCATCTGACTGGTCTCAATCACTGACATAGCTACGAATGCATACCAACTCCATTCTATTCCATGCAGGTTACGGTTGAAGTAGAAATAGCAGCAAGAGGGACAGTCCTACATTCTTTGGTGGTGGTTTGTATTCGGTGATGCCAAAAAAAACCACCAGATATATTGCGTACATTATATATTTGATAGTGTGTCTCAAGATACGTAATATCACTACGCAAGCGAACGTTACATGATACGGAACGCTCTTCAGATATAAAAAGAATAGCATCAAGGCACATCTAGAGATCAAACAGGAATCACCAGAGACTTCTCTTCAAGTTACGTCAAGAACTAGTCCGGATTAGTCCACTGCCGGAATGTTGATATTACCTTCTAAAAGAGCGTGTGTCTAAGCAGTCGACATACTTGGTGAATTGTCTTGGAGGCTTTTTTTCTTGAACTATTTGATCAAATTAGTCCTATGATTTCTGAAAAGATATACCTACATCTTATAAATCTGTAGCTTCTAGGCGATTAAACTGATTACGTATTGAATGTGGCGCTTTCTGATATCCGGGACAAAAAGCCATTGCTTAGTTATACAAAGCAGCCTTACCACCGATTGATCAGTGAGTAGTGACTAATATCATATTTGTTTAGTTTTTCTGATCGAATCCTAGTATAAATGACTCAAGATTGGATCCACTACGTTGAGATATAAAGTAATGGTAAGAGGTAGTCATCAAGAAACCCTCGACCTACATTTCGCGCTACTTGGCACTTGTCAGGATATGTACCTGTAATGTTGAGGAGACTGATGCTTGGTGGATACCCCACCGACTCGATAGAGTTTGATGAAAACTGATATCGTTCATTGTCCCGTGATCCATCACTTGTGAATACATCTTAGAGTCTTAAACAGCACGAAACCTAGGTCAAGGGTATCTTGTCAATTACCTTTAACCATCACTCCACACAGAGAAGAGTTTAACTAAAAGTATTTGGTGGTGGATTTACGGACTAGTTTCTTCATATTGTATTGTGTTTGAACGAGCTATTGTAATATGCTACTTACTGTGCCGAATACAACCTGACAGAAATCCGATGTTTTATGCCGAGATTAGGAAATGAATAAACATTTCTTATCAGAGATTACATCAAAATAATGGACTATGAAGCCTACATTCAATACTTATATATGGTTTATACATAACCATAAAGACGATCAAAGTTTGATTCATGAAAAATAACCGTTTTTAACATTCAGTGCATTAAAATGATAAAAATTCTACTCAACATTTTTGGGACCATTTTCCAAAAGCAAGTAGTTAATCCTGGTCAAGCACTTATTTGATCAAAATCAAGTAACTACGAAATATATCCGCAAATACATATGTGCTACAGTTATTGATTGATTTATCAGGCACATATGAGTGTACTTAGCTTTGAACCGCACTAGGCTTGTGAAGGTTGACAAAATCGACGTATATCAGGAGTGGTTCGGATGCCATAACGACTTAGCTAACACCCCATTATCATGCTACTTGGTGGTTACAAACACCGCGTTAAGAATAAGTCGACCTGGCCGAATATGCCAAAACAGAATAGAAAATAGAGGAACCATATGTCTGCAGACGACTGCTGATAGCTCCTACAGTAATCACTTTTAGAGACATCGTTCTCACTTACTAAAGAGCTGTACAATCTTGTTCTTCACTACACATCATAACAAACATAAGGCACATATACTGGCTGGGAGATGAAATAATGAGCATTCAAACATTTAAAGAGCAACGAATAAATATATATTTCAAACTATACAATCACAACTTGTTCCTTTGTAAAGTTGTTGTTAGGACTGCTTTGAACTTAAAAGCTCACGCAAAGCCTCTTTAGACTCACTTAACTCATTATTCACTGTGTCTCGGGCTTTCTATAGCAAAGTCATTATTAAAGGCAATCTTACCTGTGAAGTCTCAATAGAATCAGTGATCTTGTCTCTGTCCTTCTTTATATCTTCAATTAGAGTTTCCCTAGCCTTCTTGATGAACCTTTACATGTTTAATAGTATACTTTTAGGCAAATTACATTCTCCCACACGCTTTGTAAGTAGCTACATCTTCAGGCAAGGTCACTAATTCACTCTCAATTAATTGTGACCGCCTGAACTTTATGTTAAGCGACTCTATTTGAGAATTTAATACGCTGATTTGTTGGTTCGCCATAATAGTTTTCTGTCTATGTGCTTCAATGGCCTATATCGAAGATGAGATTGCTTTAGTCAATACCTTTTTAACGTCTGGATCCGACATTATCATATAGGTGACCTGGATGCAAAATTTCCGCCAAGTTCTCTAGGTCAGCCTCAGTTTTCAGTAATAAGGATAGGAGGTCTATCGACCTGTATTAATCCTTGCAGTTTGTATTGCTGTGAAGGTCCAATTTAGTCTTGTATATATCAACAGAAGGTGTTGATGTTACGTGTTACGGTAGAGAATCCTATTAATTCACTACTCGATGCGAGAAATGAAACTCCATTCGTAAAAAATTTGATCTCGGTTTTTGAACTTTTTACGAGTGTCCTCTCAAACGATCTGTCCTAGACGGAAGTAAAAGATAGGACATGTTAATACCAAGGTCATTGTTCAGTATACGATAAGCCAATATTAGATCACCCCGTATTCTACGGTAAGATAACGAAAATAAGTTGAGGTGTCTCCTGTCATGGAGAAAGTTACTTATCCAGTCTACGACTGTATAATGGAATCCGAAGCGTCCCAGTTTGAATTTAAGACCAGAATGGGAGACCTTATCGAAAGCTTTACTTAGATTTATGACGATCACATCTACAGGAATATTCTGATCTTTTGCAGCAGCCCAATCTTCTCTTGCAATGAGAAGATTTGTCAAGCACGATAGGCCTCTCCGAAAACCATGTTGTTCCCTGGAGAAAAGATTATGCCTTTCAACATAGTTTATAACAGATACCTGAATGATTTTTTCCATCAGTTTTACAACTGCACTAGTTAAGCTAACGGGTCTATAGTTACTAACTAAATCCCTACTCCCAGCCTTATACACCGGACTTATTATAACGTCTTTCTAGTCTCTGGGCAGTCTGGACTGCTTCAGGAACATGTCAACCAATATCGCTAATGGTTCAGCAATTACATCTGTTATGGCTCCCATAATCCTAGGATTAATATTATCAGGACCACTGGACTTATCAGGTTTGAAATGCTGAAGTAGCCTTAAAACAGTACCTATCTCAATGACCACAAGATCCATCAGCGAGCCGCCACGATCATAAAGCTTCAGCCTTTTCGGTATCATTTTCTGCCAAGATTAACGGATTTTCTTGTATCAAAAGTGATGGAATTCCATCACTTCTCTGAGTTCGCCTTTTTATATACGAGAATAACCGTTTTGGACTATATCTAGTATCCCTAACCAATTGTTTTTCGTATGATCGTCTAGTCTTACTTATTAAAGCTTTACAGGCATTCCTAGTCTTACAATAACTGGGTCGGTATTGTTCTAAGCCAGTGAAGATGAACATATTCCAGTGCTTCTTTCATCTTCTAAGAAGTTTCTTAACTGATTTAGCTATCCATTGTGGACTATTATTCGGTCTTCGCGGTACCAGGTATGGTATGAACGAGGACGTAACTAAACTAAACTTACCTTTAAATACAGACCATGCTTCTTCAACTGATAAGCTAGTATCTACAAACCAATCTGTCTTAGCAGTGCATTCCTGAATGGCTGATATGTTAGCTTTCCATACATTTGGGAGCAGTGTGACCTAATCGTATAAAATGTCCTTAGTTCTAAACGAGAATGAAAAAACAGCGTGATCACTGTTCACTAACGGTCGGAGAACATTTAGGTCGACAATATCTTCAGTACCATGAGTGATTACCAAGTTGGACAGCGAAGAACCTTGGTTAGCACAAAAACGTGTGGGTTTGGATACATACTGAACTAATGCATGTTCCATTAATGTTATCAGGAACCTACTATCAAAGGAGCTTATAGATCCTTCTGTGGTCATCTCAGTCCAACTAATGTCAGGTGCATTAAAGTTTGCTATTATCAAGCATCTGGTATTGGCACTTCAAAGATGAATGTGCTCTAAAATAAAGTCATCAGCTGAGCAGATTGGGCTGCGATAGATGACACCGAGTATAAATGTATTACATCCGATATCCAATTTACAACTAATGATTTCACAAGTACCGCTGTCATGGGATTCGCTAGCAGAAGAGCGGATATTTATATTATTGGCTATATATAACGGGAGGCCACCTCCCTTTCTACATCTATGTCTATCACTCCTTAGGTAATGGTATCCGGATAATTCTGGAGTAATGTCGAAGTCATGGACTAACCAAGTTTCTGTCACTGCTACGATGAATGGCCTTAATCTGTCCACTAATGCTTCTAGTTCATAGAACTTATTTCTTAGGATACGAACGTTGGCATATAAAACTCCTAGGTAGAACGACCTATCCACACAGGCCTTGGTAGCATCCGCTTCCAAGACCTGACTATCCGAAAACCCACTAACCGGAGATTTTCCTCACCATTTTGTTGATGGATTTCTAGTTCAGCTAGTGCTTTCTTTCTTTTTATTCTATCTTCGAGAGACATCTAAGGTCTAACTTGGATATCGGAATTGTCGTGACAATGAGCATTACTTATCAGGAGATCCCGTTGCTTCTCTGATCCTAGGATTACCTTAAGGAGTGTTCATGGTCGAGGTTCAGCATTGTCCTCGGTCCTCTTGCTATTCTAACCAGCTTTTTGACTTAAACTCCTTTGGAGTTATCTGGTAAGATACTACGAATATATTCTCCCAACTTCTCTAAATCATGCGCGTGTCTCAGTAGACAATACCGCCCTCTGCGAATTAATAGCTTGTCACAGGATGACTTACTGTTCTGTATTTAACTAATACATTACAGAACTTTTGGTATATTGTAACTTCAAATTTGTTCAGTAGAATTAATAGAATGAAACCGTTACACTTACAGCCTTCTATATCCAGCAGCATCTGATCGACTTTCCATAATATAAGTAGTTACTTGTTAATAATAATAATATGTTTCTTCAGGGGCAGGTACACACTATTTTTACAGGTATGATCTACAAATCTCAACATTTGTTGGATCATCCCATGCTTCCTACGTAGGGTAGTTAAGTAGATCAGATCAATGGAAGTGAACAACAGTATATTCATACAGGTGTCTTAGAGCGTTAATCACTAGGTTTATGTTTTAGTACTACACTGAGTGCAGTCTTCAAAATATTTTCCAAAGTGGCATCGCATTCACTTCACACCAAATCCAATCTCGTTTATAATTGTGTTAGAATTCTGGTCGTGTTAAGTATTTATGCAATACAACTTTTTATGTTTATGGTTGTTATAAAGTAGGTTTGTAGAGCACTTGGCGTTCCAGACATCAGAAGTTTCATAGCTGTTCCCTCAGGGCAAGATTCTAAAAAAGTGATAAAGAGCAGAGTAGCAAGGCACTTGGATATGAACGTTAAACAATGCTTAACATTTCGTAGCGGAAGAGACAAAAGTATCTTAAATTATTAAATCAAATTCGTACTAGCTCTTTTTGCTAGAGTGAAATATGATTAGTGCCTCTAGATGAGGGAATACAATGATAAAGAACGATGAGTCGCGATATTTAACAAGGTGGGGTAGGTTCAAATGATGGTAGGGAAGTCAAAGTTCAAATAGAGGAGACTGTTCATTAGAACAGAAAGTGCATTAAGAGAATAAAATGTTAAGGAAACTAGTAACTGTATTTTCTATCGTCCGACCTTTTTTAGTATTTTTCATCCGATGCCAGCTACACAGTCCCAATGTAAAAGTCCGAGTTGGCATGCTACAGGTTATCTTAGTAGAATAGCTGATTCAGCACAAAATGGGAAACATGAGTGTGAATGATAAGCGAAGGGGAACAAATTCGACATCACAGATTGGCTGACTTTTTCGCAATCATAATAAGCCTGATACAAACAATGTGTTCTGCCTCACAAACATGGGTGGATTGAATTCATCACCCTCATCATCAGTGCTTGCTAATCAGTAGCTCCAGCCTCCTTCCTTTTGTGATGTTACTCTCATTTAAGCTTGTTTTTGGACATATACCATACCTCGTACGATGCTCTCTGTTTCATGTACTGTTGGAAAACACTATCTTTATAAGTATCATTTCACAAATTTATCAGAGAGTTAAAAGTTATGGACTGGGCACCGATGCAATGCTTCAGTTGACTATAGTATAAAGTATAGTTTGGCAATTAGAGTATAAGCATTAAGAGGGGTGTAATGTAGGATAGTTGTTTATTAAAGCAGGAGGAAAAGTATAGAAGTATATGAGTTGTAGATAAGGTAACGAGTGGAGAAATAATATTAATTGCTAGTCAACATAGTGTGAAGAAGAGTAAAAAGCTAGTAAGCAATAAACAAGGAGAGACTCACACTGACTTGGTGCTGATGTTATTTTGTGTTGTCTTAACCAGTTGATGGGTAACGGGCTCCATAGATGCAGGTCGACTGGTAGTAGGCAGTCGATTGTGCAGTTCTCTTGACTTTTTAGGGTGGTAATGAGTGTCCCTTAGCGACCGAGTTTAGTTGAACAGTATCGATAGGTCCAGTGAGTAACCTGTCTACTTTAAGTGAAGAAATAGAGTGGAAAAAGTAACTAAAACAACTGCAAAGTATGAAAAATAAGGCGAACTGAACTTGAAGTCCACTTTGGTTTAGACATGTAGAGAGCCTATGATGTGTGAGTGGGGCGCAGATGTGTTCGTACGTGCAAATGAGGGCTTGATCAAGCAGTCTTGCAAACGTATGTAATTCATCTGCCATGCGTATTTTGGAGGGAAGACTGTTCCAAATTATTGCATACTTTATGAGAAAGAAGTTTTCTCGAGTTTTTGTTCTGTATTTCTGAACTTTGGCCGTAGATGCTTTGTTTCGAAATTTGTATTCATGTGAATCTCGGACAAGTACTATATTACATGTTGAATAAGTAAGGTTTTTGAGTTGTTCGATGTAGAGAATCAAGTTGGACTTAAGCCTTCTCTTCCATAGGAGTGCTATTCCTTAGATTTGGCATCGGGAACTGTAGTCAATGACTGATTCAATCTTAAGTATTTTGCGGGTGAAGTCTCGTTGTATATCAGATAGGCATAGGTTGGAAAAGAAGAACGAGCAGTATTCAACTATAGGTCTTACACAAACTTTATAAAGAAGGGTTTTAGATGCATTCTGATAGAAATTACGGAGAATGAAGCCAGGCAATGTCCGCACTTTAAATGCTTTGGCTGAGATGTGTTCAGAGAAATTAAGACTGTGTGAGTAATGTACCCTTAGGTCAGTTACTGATGCCAGTCTGGGCAGTGTGTTGTTGTTAAGTGCTAGTTTTATTTTGAGAGACGTGTCTCCTATACATAACCAGCCGCATTTCTCTGTATTGAGCTCTAACCTCCAGCGTTTGCACCAGTCTTCTACCATGTTGAGTTCATGTTGGATTGTTTGCATAGTACTACGTACACCGCAAGTGTCGGATTTATAGATGACTTTTAAGTCATCG